CTATATTCAAGATCATCCTAGAGTTTATTATCTTCCACTACGATTTACCCCTTCATCTACATTGATTGAATTGCTTAAAAAGTATTAATCCACTTTTGAGTCAAACAAAAATGATAATAACAGCATAACAAAATAAATAAATAAATAAATAAACTACAGAGACTAGATTACAGCAAGATTCACACAAGAAAGCAATTTGTAAAATATCTTATTATTTGGAGAGAGAATGGAATTTTTCTTATCCTGTGGGCTTAAATACCAGCCTCTGTTTGATACAGGGTTAGAACACTTGACCTTACACATACGTGCTGCATTATTAGCCCTGAACAAATGCTCTGGGGGCGAGGAAAAAGGAAATTACTGGATACTTTGTTTTTGTAAACTGGCCCTTGAGTCACATTAACTTCAGCCTTATGTTTCAAACAGCACAGAACTGTCAAAGGAACCAGTACAAAATTGTAAATTAAGTATGACCATTTACTAGAGTTATTCTTGAACAAATTGGATAAGGTATTTCTCAACAATCACTCATAAAATAAGGTTGTTGCTGATAGTAGTAATTTTGATTGCTATAAGCTGAATTCCCATATCTTTCATCTCTTCCATTACCACCATATCCAAAGGGATTCCCAAAAAGATAATCTGCAGTACTTTGCCATTGTTCATTACTGCTATCTTCAGCACTGTTTATATAGTTCAAGTTTCTTCTTTGGTTTTGTTTGGCTAAGCAGGGCCAGTAACCAAATAGGCTTTCACATAAATCCATAGATTCCAAGCCTGAACCATAAGGAATTTGCTGCAATTGCCTCCCATAATCATATCCATATTCCTCTATAGTTCCATTTCCAGCAACAAAATCTTGATCTTGTTGAAGAGGTACTATAGGGTTTTCAAGAATATCATCCCCAAGAATGGGTTTTTCTTTGACACCAGATACGGACTTTGGCTCATCTTTCTCTTTGCTTTGATCCTGAGGTTCTTCTAGCTGATTGGCGTGGCTTACATAGGGTGAAGGAATTGATCCATAGTCGAAAGACTCGGACCCATTAAGTCCATTAGATTTAGGAACGGAACGAGGATAACAAATTTCATTGGAGGGGCTAAGGGGTTTGCCATAGGTTTGAGCCATGTTATAGCCACCACCATAAGGGGTTGGATCATATTCTTTAAAAAGAGTGTCATCATGTTCTTTAGCTGAATTAGAGATTACGTATGGCGTCTCCAAAGAATTAGCAGCCTTTTCATATTGGATAAGTTGTGGCTCAGTAGAATTATGCACAGAGTAACTTAACTGTGGATGCATTTGAGTAGTGTAGTAGTAATTGTAATTAGTACTCTGTTCAATTTGCTCTGAGGTGCTATATCCATAGGAAGAATATGATATTGAAGACTGAATTGGAAAAGCATTATAATCATAAGGGACACTGAAATAAGGAGTCAAGTGGCACTCACCAGCATCACCATTGTAGCCATAGAAAGCCATCTATTGGACCCTTCAAATTTCTGAGAACAATTGCTAGGGAGACTGCAAATTTTGATAGTTTTATCTGCTTCGTATTTGATCAATATGCATATTATTAAGGTAATATAATTTCAGCCATATCACATATGCTAAATGGATACTGATAGAGAAAGGAAGAACATGGGCACTGGATAATGGTTGGTTGGGATGATGCTATAATAATGCAAGCAGATAAGAATATAGAAAAAGGAAGTGTGTGACTGTTTTGCACTTGTAGCCTGTTTGGTCAAGCCACTTTTGGCCAAAAATTGAGGTGTTTGGTCAAGCTTTTGGAAGGGAAAAAAGTACTTTTGAGGAGAAGCAGAAGCAGTTTTGGAGAAGCAGAAAAAAGTAGTTTCTCTCCAAAAGCACTTTTTTGAGAAGCACTTTTGAAAAAAATACACTTAGAAGCAGTTTTTTAAAGCTTGACCAAACACTAATTGCTGCTCAGAAGTGCTTTTCAAACTAATTAGCCAAACACAAACTGCTTCTCACCAAAAGTACTTTTTAGAAAAGCACTTTTAAAAAAAAGCACTTCTCAAAATAAGCTGATTTTTGCAGCTTGGCCAAACGGGCTATTAGTCTATGAACAAAGACAAGCACGTCAAATTCACATGATTGATACTGGACTAATATTTAGTGCCCACGAAAGTGGGTGAAAGGGAGAGGGTGTTTGGCTAAGCTTATAAGCCGGTCAAATTAATTTATAAGCACTTTTCCGCTTATCTACGCGTTTGGTAAAGTTAAAAGTGCTTATAAGTCAAAAATAAGCCAAAAGCCATAAACTGGTCATCCCCAGCTTATGAATTTTTAGCTTATAAGCAGTTTAAGTTTGACCAAGATTTTTACTATTCCCCTCCCCCCCCCCCCCCCCTTCAAGTTTGCAATTCTCATTGACTATATAAGATAAGCAAATTCTCTATTCCTTTGTATTTTTGTATCTATGTGATCGTGTATTAATCTTTGAATTGTATGTAATAAATGAGGACATATCAAAACTTTGGTGTATTGCTTTTTTAAGTGTTGTGGTGACGAAGACAGTGTTTGTTTCTCTTCAATATTTTGTCCTATTTAGGTTTATTTTTTATTGAGAAAATTTTGTCAATTTATTAATTATTACTATAACTTATTGTTATATGCTTATCATAAAATAAATTATATTTATCATAAACATTATCTTATCTAAGCACAGTTGTATTTAAAATAAAATGACAAATAGGATATTTTATATTTGAATCGATCTGGAATCTAAAATTTTAAAGAAATTACGCTCTTATAAGTGTAAACAGTTCTAAGGTTATTTAAGTCATTTTAACAGAAAAAGAGCTTATCAGCACTTTTTAATTAAATACTGCAGCAACTTATTATCAATTTCAGCACTTATATCCAAACATGTAACTGTTTATTTATTAAATCAGTTTCAGCACTATATCAGCCACTTCAAATCAGCTAATCCAAGCGGCCTCATAGTCCTTGAGGGAAAATAATAGGACAGTTTAAGATATATATGTTGATAGTGTAAAGATTTTTAACAGTATCAAGTGTAATTCGACCTGCTATTGCAAGTTATTTACTCTTACTTTTCAGGTTGTACGATCATGCTTGTTTTAAACAGTTACCTATTTGTTACATGTAACTTAACATAATGGTGTAACAATTTATATTTTTATAAAGCATAATGGTGTAACAAAATTATATATTGTCAAAGAAAAAATTTGAACTTCTAAGAAATTCATGTACTGAGGATGTTCAGTAAATTTCGAACTACTCAGCTCGGTGGTATGCAACAGTTGAGACATTTCTGCAGTGGAAGGCATGGGTGGACCTTATGAAATCTCAGTCATGGAAATAGACGGATCAAGACTCTATACAAACTCTCTTTTCCTGACAAGAATATATGTAACTAATTTAAGTATTTCATAAGAATATGCAGTCTTTTGCTAATTTTAGATATTTCAAAGAATTTTATAACGTATGAACACCTATATCACACATGTTCAACAGTGAATACGTCAAGACAAATGAGTCCACGGAATTTTATACGTCAAGATTAGAGTCCAAGTTCTAGTCACAGGCAAATAATTCTTTTGATCATCATTTGTCAATTTATCGGACTTCTAACTTATCTCATGTATTTCTCCGTATGTGAGTAGCATGTAATTGTCTTTTGATTTTATTAAATCAGAAATTATTTCATTTGATTTGTTATATCCCTAAAATTGTGTTCTCTTTTATGTACACTCCACGGATTTTTTTTTGAAAGGAAATCCCAACTGAAATTAGTATTCAGGTTTTCTGTTTTCAACTTGACCAGGTTTTATTACCATTTGAATCAAAAGAAAGCTCCACTACCTTATTCCTTTACCCCAGTACCAGGTTATTCCTAATTCCTCACCTCGTTAAGTTCCCCCAACAGGACATGCATAAGAAAATAGCAACAAACAAGTAATTTAGAAGGGGAATTCTGGAGAGACTGAAATTAAGTAGGGCACCCAAATTATAAGCTAGTTTGTGTTCAAAGCAACAAAAATGACTTGTTTTTAAAAAAGGTGTTGTTTGGGTCAACTTGCTCACTCAACTATATCACTGGATACCTGCTATCTCCTACCAGTATAAGTATCGAGTAATTCGGCCACCAGGCTTAGGCAGATAGGAAAACACCTAGCACTTCGTGTGTCTTCTAGGATTTAAAATCTGGTCTCCCGGGGATTATCATCCCACTTCATTGACCACTAGGCCACCTCCTTAGGTGCAGAAATGACATTTTCACTACTTTATCCCTCATGCGTCTAGGCAAGGTCTGATTTCGTCTGCTACGGGGTCATACTGCATTCACAAAGGCTGTGCGAGGCAATTAGTTCAACAGATGTAGGTCTAACCTTCAGCCTATCTGTTCCCTTCTGTATCATATTTTTACAACAAATATTGCACAGAAATGCACATTATAAGTCACACACACACACAAGATTTATTGCACAACCATAGTAGTTCCATCACTGGAATTCTATCATCAGTCAGTTAACCATCAACACTCTAGACTTCAGTATCAAAGATGGAACTTCCTACAATGCACCTTATCTGGTCTACCTTCGAAGGGAAGTGCACTGGGTGTTATAGCGTTTGCAAAATCAGCTTATATTGACAGAAAAAGAGCTTTAAAGCCAGTCCATTCAACGCATAGGCTACACCAACCCTTGCACCATGCCCAAAATAATTTAGTGAACCAAGCAATTTAAGGGGGCAATTCAAAGGATTAACATTATGCTGCTACTTTTTATCATTCCTGTGAAACATTGTGCAGTTCACTAGTAAGTGACAATGCAAATAAACAGAATTTCCTAGGTTTCTGCTGCATTTCCTTCCAGTTAAGTTTCTTTTCTTCAGTATTTAAATTAAATGAATACTATTACTCATCACATTAAGAAACAAATTTCCTTTTAAGAAAGTGCATCTCCATTGTCATGCATAATCTAAATTGTAAGCGTAGCAAATGTCAAGATATGAACGAACAGAAAGCATAATGAGTCATCACATATACATTCGATCTTTGAACATAGAATAACCTGGTCAGAATCAAAGTTACATACCGACACAGCTTCCGCTCTCATTCTTGATAATGAAAGCTAGTCTAAAGGAAAGATAAAACAATAGGTGCAGTCGACCAAACTCCTAGACTAGCAGTGTATTCCCATCTAACCTTTTCGCACCAACTTATCTTTGTGAAAATGCCCACCAATACGAGGCTATGAATGATATATTGGCAACTTCCTAATGGCAATTCGACTCCAAAATCAGATAACAACCTGCAAGAAAGAATAGAAGAATAGCAACATAATGAACTTATTTCCCTCAACTAAATAAACATACTTCTGACAGAAAATATAAGTTCAGTACTTTCAGCGCCTGAGAAGGGATTATAAGCCCAAATGTATGTCAACCATAACAAATGGGATAAAACTGTGAGTTCTCTGTTATCTCTAGTGGGTGTCAAGAATTAAGACACTTAAAACGCACCCATTACGGTTTTAGGAGGAAGATTCAGGAGCTGCTTCTTGTTTAGTTCGTTCAGGAGGAGGACCATCTCTTCTTCTTACATATGCTTTACTCTTGCTTCTAGTCCGGTTATTCTGCTTGGGTTGGTAAGTAGGATACTGGCAAGGAATTATCTCTCCATTGATGTACTTATCTCCTGAAAGATGAAAACATATACAACATATCTCAACGTAGATCACCAGTGAAAGTGAACATAAACGAAGAAAACCTCTTCAGAAACTAACCTCCATAGTCCTTGTTCTTCACATCTATGTAAGAATCAGGCAGGACCCAAAGAACTCCAGGTAGACCTACAAAATGAATTTCCATACAGAAAAAGTCAACGCCAGAACACTGGAATTTCAGATTCTCATATGGTGAAATAAGAAAAGTTTGCTCTCACCCTTAAACTTTTCTGATGTTTCTTCCGATACAGTGCATTGAAACCCAGTGTAAGTGGTAGTACTAAAGGCATACATGTTCTTCTTTGCCTCTTCCATACTGATAACAATATTTTCATTAATAAGATAAAACAGGAGGAAAAAAAAACTATTGGTTTTTAATTATATTCTGCTACACCAAAAAAGTCATAAACCATTAGCAAATTTTCATCAGTCCAACTTTGCCAATATCCACGAGTCTGACACACTCTTAATCAACAAAACTTTTATAGGAGTAATCCAAACTTCCATATACCAAGTAAAGTTGATTTATTTATTAGCATAAGATTAATATTATACCTCATAATCAAGTTGCTACTTAAACCCCCACAAAAAAAGGGAAAAAAGAGCAGGCTTCAAGCGCTTAGCGTGGGCTATGTTTGCAGTCCAAAATTCGGACAATCTATGCTTAAAAGATATCAGCTTTGTTCACAATTTACTACTACTAAATATAAGTAATTTTCTGTAACTGACTTACCCTACAAGAACAGTACACAGAATATTACTAACTAATATCAAAGCTAAAAGCTTACACTGCACTACTCCAATAACTGATGCAAGTATTCAACAAATTTAGCCAAAAGGCCATTAACCCATTCAAACAAATTATTCAAAACTCAATAAAGACAATACAAATTAGAGATATTATCTGAATAGTAAAGGAGTTTTTTTAAAAAATTACCTGCCAAGAACAGTGGCAAGGGTGTTGAGATAAGTGTCAATCATCTGTTCTCTAGTGGGAGCAGGATCCTTAGGGAACTCCATGACAATAAGCCAATGGTTATAGTCACAGCCAGGTAACATAATAGTCTCCCTTTCCTCACCGCTACTGCTCCTCTTAGAAGAGTATTCCCCATCAGAAATGGCTCTTACAACTGGGAGTCTTGAAATTTTTCCGAGTGGAATTGAAGAGAGAGAGGTGCTGACAAAAGGGCAGGAGGAAAGCGAGAGGAGAAAAGTAGGGGTTTTAGGGAGGTTTTGGAATTGAGAGTTAGGGTGTAGGGTTTTGGAGAAAGGAGGAATATTGAGAGATGCCATGGGAGTAGAGATAGGGGCACTCTCTGTGTTTGTGTTTGTGTTTGTGATAAGGAGGGGCTTGGATTTCAATACAAAATTGGAATTCAGAAAAAAATTCTCTTCTCAAAATATCTTTTCTTTGGAGGGTTCTTTTTTTTTTTTTTTTTTTTTTTTTTTTTTTTTTTTTTTACAGTTTGTTTGAATGGGTGTTAACCCTGTATCGTATTGTATTGTTATCCAAAAATAATTATTTATTTTGATTGATTCATTAAAATTGATTGTATTGACTTGTTAAATCCATTGTTCTGAAACAATAAAAAGTTCCATTTTTTGAAACAATTGAGTTGGTGTGGTGGGATTGTTTTCTATTTTTCTTTCCAAATATGCCTTAACTTATTACTCCATAATTTTATTTTACTCTTTAGCTTTTTTTATTTTAACTCCAAATCTCCAACCTATAACCTACTTTGTCTTAGTCCCTTCTCTTCCATAACTTCTACGGCTTCCAACTCCGATGTAAAAGATATAGGTTTTGCCTTCTTTTTATTTCTTTTTTTCTCCTAATGTGATTTTAGCTTCAATTCTAATTACTTTAACTCCAATTCTTTGTTCATTTGTTTTGCCAATTTTCATTCCTTTCTTTATCATAATTTATTATTTTTTTTCTAATGAAAGTTAAAGGATTTTCTTAAATTATTTTATGCGTAATTCTTGATAAATTTATTATTAAAATAATTAAGGTTATTTTAGTAAACTTATCAGTTACAGTACAGTACGATACAGTCAAACAAAATAGCAAAATATTAATTAACAATAACAAACAATATAGTCTATCGAAATACTATATTCATAAAACGATACAATATAATATATTATAAAACGATGGGTAACAACCATCCAAACAAGCTGTTAACGTTATATGTGTGAGGAGTGCAGAAGGGCTTCCCAAAATTTTAATTGAATGCTATTTTTTCGAGGTTTTTCTTAACAAGGTCAAATTTAAATGATAGTCCTAAGAAGTCCATCCAGTATAATGAGGCCATTGTTTATATTTTATCATGGTTTAAAGAATTTTTGAAATAAGGCCCTTTGCTCTGCACAATCAAAAGAATGAAAAAATTACATTTATTTAATTATTTATATGTTTTGTTGGGCGGCTACAATTTGGTACTATCCTTATTCTATTTACCTTGCTAAATTATTCACAGGTTTGATTGGATGGACGAATCTAACCTATGTTGTTTAATTATTCACAAGTTCTGCCAGACAGGCACAATTTGAGATTATATTCATTCTGCTTATTTTGTAAAACTGTTCGCAAGTTTAGCTAGATGAGAAAATCTTATTGTTTTGTTTAATTATTCACAAGTTTTACCTAACTGGCTAAATGTTACATGTGCTTTTTTATAATATTTTTATTTTCGGTCGTTGTCTTTATTTTTGAAAATATCGTTTAAAAATGGAACCAAATTTAAATGGAAAACTTACACAAATGTCCTAAATGAGTTTCAACTTACCAACCTCTAGTCATTAGTCATAGATTTGCCAAAACTAGCCAAGCACATATAAAAATTGAAAAACCAAATAAATAAGGTTCTTTCTCTCAAAGAATCACATGCAAAAATCTCCTTCCATATTTTTAAGCGTGATTAGCAACATTAGATGCAAGACGGAAAGGAAATTTCATGGATGATGCAGCAAATAAGGTGATGAAATACAATTATATATATATATATATATATATATATATATATATATATATATATATATATATATATATATATATATATATATATATATATATACAATATAACGAAGANATAATAATAATACAATATACTAAAAATCTAAGAAAAAAATAAACTTTTTCAATGGGTATAGTTGAAATTCACTAAAAACATATAGATAAGTCAATATAAAAAATTTGAGGAAGATTGGAAGTGATTGTTTTGTATTAAAAATCGTAATTAAATCGAGTTCAAAAAATTTTCTGTGACACATGTATCAAATTTCTATCACACATGTATCTCACACACAGGTATACATGGATATACATGTGATACACAATTGATACAAATATGATACATACATACATATATATATATATATATATATATATATATATATATATATATATATATATTATGATACACAGTGTGATACACATATCATTTTTTTTCATGTTCAGTTTTTACTTCGAATTTTCAATTCAAACCACCTCAAAACTTCATCAAATCATCCCAAACTAAGATTCAAGCTCCTTAAGATGTACCCAATCTATTCTAATAATAACACTCACTCAAAAGAAAGCAAAAATTTGACATTTTTTGTTACAAATAGCTAATTAGCTAATATTAGTAATATTTGGCTAATATTAATAATATTTTATGAATTGGTCAATTTTTGTAAAGAGCTACTTATAAATGGGTAGAAATAGCGTGGAATAGCCACTTTTTAACATGGAATTTAATTTTTATCCAGTATTTTTAACGTTGAGCAAAAATAGCAACTACTCTATTAAAATTAATACGAGTAGACATTTTTACCCTTTCTTCATGAGTGTTGTATAAATATTAAGGACATGGTGTCCTTAACATTTACACTGCACACATGAAGTAAAGGACGTTGTGATGACCCAAAAGTTCATCCCTTATTTTAGAAGTCAAATATGTGTTCCGAGGCCTTAAAACCCTCCTTTTGTTTCACCTCAATTCATGCGCAGTCCGGGCGTATATCCGAAAAGTCTTTATGTGAAAGTTTGAGAAAAATGCTAAATTTTGCCTTTAAAATTGAATTAAGTTGACTTCGGTCAACGTTTTGGGTAAACGGACCCGGACCCGTGATTTAACGGTTCCGGAGGGTCCGTAGAAAAATACGGGACTTGGACGTATGCCCGAAATTAAATTCCGAGGTCCCTAGCCCGAGAAATGAATTCTTGAAGATAATTGTTTAACTGAAAATATAATGGTTTTTTGGAAATTTAATGATGCTTGATTTCGATGGTATCGGGCCCGTATTTTGGTTTTGGAGTTCGGTACAGATTTAATATGGTATTTAAGTGGTGTCTATGAAATTTGGTAAGAAACGGAGTTTACATGACGTGATTCGGACCCTCGATTGTGAAAATAGAACTTTAAGAGTTCTTGAGATTTTCATTGATTTTGATGCTACATTCGTTGTATAAGATGTTATTTGGGCGATTTGATCGCATGAGCAAGTTCGTATAATGTTTTTAGACGTCTGTGCATGTTTGGTTTGGAGCCCCGAGGGCTCAGGTGAATTTCGGATAGGTTTCGGGATGTTTTGAACTTAGAAAATCTGTTGTTTTGTTGTTGCTGGTATGACTAATATTTTGTGCTTCGCATTCGCGAAGCAACGCTCGTGAACACGAAGTGCAAGCTGGGCTGGGGAGGGATTTCTTCTATGGGAAAGCGAGGCCTTGGTCGCGAACGCAGAGCACTGGAGGGATTGCTCTTCACGAACGCATAGTATAATGGAGGTGGCTGGGGAAAATCATCGAGTTGCTCTTCGCGAAAGCGGTCCCAGGCCCGCAAGCGCGATGGTCAGGGGGGACAGACTATCGCGAACGAGAGCAGCTCATCGCGAACGCGAAGGCCCTTCTGGCCGCAAAGCATCGCGAACGCGACAGACCTCTCGCGAACGCGAAGAAGGTCTGTCCAGTGTTTTGAAAACAGAATCAAAACGGGAGTCTTCCATAATTTCATATTTTCTTCCATAGAATCCGACCTTGGGCGATTTTTGAAGAGAGATTTCAACAGCAAACCATAGGTTTGTGTTCTTAAACTCATTTCTTCATTTTCCATCAACACCCATTAGATTTCTAGGCCTAAATCTTGTTCTTTAGGGTAAAAATTAGGGATTTTGGGGGAATTGGGGATTTTACAAAATTGGGAATTTAGACCTTGATTTGGGATCGGATTCCGAAATTAATTATATATTTGTGCTCGTGGGTGAATGGGTGAATGAGTTTTGGTCCGAACCTCAAGTTTTGACCAAGCGGACCCGGGGTCTATTTTTGACTTTTTATGGGAAATGTTAGGAAACCTATAATTAAGCATTGGAGTTGAATTCTTTAGCATTTATTGATGTTGTTAAGTTAATTAGGGCTAGATACAAGTGAATTAGAGGCGAAATTTAAGGGGAAAGCGGTATTTGAGGCTTGAGTTTGGCCGTGGAATCGAGGTAAGTGTTTGGCCTAACCTTAGCTTGAGGGAATATGCGTTGTCTTATTTTCTACGTGTTAGTGTTGAGTACGGCGTATAGGTGTGGTGACCAGTATCTATACGTTGGTATCGAGCATGCCCGTGAGTCTTATACTGTGTCTATTGTGGCTCTTATTATGTATTGTCCATGCTTAAATTGATGATTATCCATGTTGAACAAGACTTATGATAATTTCTTGGTAATTGACCATTGTTGAGTATTGGCTCAAGTTGAGATTTATTTTGTGAAGTTAACTGTTGGAACGAGATTGGTTATAGCTGATTCCCTTGCCGGGATGTATTTGTTTCTATTATTGATTCCCTTATCGGGATGTTATTGTTTCTACTGTTTGGGTGAGGAAAGAGTGATAAAGCACGAAGGGTGATGCCGTGCACATTCATACTTATGCATGGTGAGGAAGAGTGATAAAGCACGAAGGGTGATGCCGTGCACATTTACATTTATATTGATGCATATGGTGAGGAAGAGAGATAAAGCACGAAGGGTGATGCCGTGCACATTTCTATTATTGATTGCATGGTGAGGATTGAGAATAAAAGCACGAAGAGTGATGCCGTGCATTTTCTGTTTGCTGTGTTCATTGGCTGTTATCGGTTCAAGTGTTTTGTCTGTTTAAAATTCTTTACTGCTGTAGTTCTTTATGTTGAAACCCCCATTGCATGTTGCCCCTCCCCGTACATTTCTGCTTAGTTTTATTACTTGTTACTCTGTTATTATACTGATTAACTGCACATGTTTATGATGTTTGTCGTGTCCTAGCCTCGTCACTACTTCGCTGAGGTTAGGCTCGGCACTTACCAGTACATGGGGTCGGTTGTACTAATGCTGCACTCTGCACTTTTTATGCAGATCCC